TTGGTTGTGGTGCTAGTGAGTGTAGCACTGCTGAGCCTATATGTATGATATGCATTTTTTCCCCAAAGTGGAGCACTTGCATTTCTCTGTGTTGAATGTCATCAGGTATTGATCTGCCCACCTTGCGAGCCTGTCCTGGTCAGCCTGAACTGCCAGCCTATCCTCTAGAGTGACTGCACTTCCCTATAATTTGGTATCATCTGTGAACTTAGGCAATCTATTTCTGACACCCAAATCCGGATGATTTATGAATATATTAAAGAGTACTTGTCTGAGTACAGAGCCCTGGGAGACACCGCTGGTCACCATGCACCATGTTGACTCAGTTCCATCAACTGTCACCCTCTGGGTCTGACCACAGAGCCAGTTCCCCAGCCATTGAACCATAAGGTTGTTGAGGCTGCAGTTCCCCAATTTTACCATGACGACATCATGGGAGACCAAGTCAAAGGCTTCTTTGAAATCTGAATATATGACATCAACATCTTCTCCTTTGTCCAGGTGGTGCATCACGTGGTCATAGAAGGGAATGAGGTTGGTCAAGCAAGACCTACCCACAATGAAGCCATGTTGGCTATGTCTCAGAACGTTGCCTTCCATTAGCCTGTTGCTGATGGTTTCTTTGATGATTTTTTCAAAGATCTTTCCAGGGATTGAGGTCAAACTGATTGGCCTATTGTTCTCTGTATCTTCCTTCCTTCCTTTCTTGAAGATAGGCACCACATTGACCCTCTTCCAATTGTCAGGAGCCTCCCAAGTGCCGTGAATTCTCAAATATTCTTGCCATTGGTTATGCTATGATGTCAGCTAACTCTTTTAGCACTCTTGGGTGCATTCCATCCAGGCCAGGTGACTTGTGGATGTCCAGCCTCTCAAGCTGTTCCCTCACAAGATCTTCACCAATTATAGGCATATAATCGCCCTTACCCCTGTGTCCTGTCAGGCAAGGTGATCCCCTTTGGCTGGTGAAAAACTGACACAAAGTAATCATTGAGGAGATTAGCTTTCTTCTGGGTGTCGGTTGTCAGCTGCCCCATTTGGTTCAGCAAGGGTCCAATGTTGCCCTTGTTTTTTTTCTGACTTCCCATGTATTTGAAGAAGGACTTTTTATTGTTAGACAGTTTGAATTCAGTTTTAGCCTTGGCTTTTCTGGTGTGGAGGCTGGGCCAGGTGCGGGCCAGTGCTGTATAATCCTCCTTAATGGTAGTTCCTGACTTCCATCCCTTATAAGCATCTCGTTTCAGATTCGGGAGGTCCATGAGTTCCCTATTGAGCCAAGGGGGTCTCCCAGCCCTTTTGCTACCTTTCCTATGGGCCAGAACGGACTTCCCTTGTGCTTTGAGGATCACATCCTTAAGGAGCAACTACTTATCATGGACTCCCTTCCCTGTAGGGGCCTCAACAACCAACCTCTTGAGCTTGTGAAAGCTTTCCTAAAGTCGAGGCTTTCTGCACTGCTGACTGATTTGCCAGCTTTGTCATGGATAGAGAAAGTGAACAACTCATGATCACTGTTACCAAGTTTCCCTTTGATCCTCAGGTCTCTACTTAGATCATCCCTTTTGACCAGTACCAGATCCAGCAGCTCCTTACCTCTTTTTGGCCTGTAGAATTCTTGAGTCAAATAGAGCTCATTAATGCAAGTGAGGAAGCTTTGCAAATGATCAGATTTGGCTGAATGCTCTTCCCATGAGATGTCAGGGTGGTTGAAGTTGCCCATGACAACCATGCACTCAGAGCGTGCAGCCTCCGCCAGTTCCCTAGTGAATTCATGGTCAAATTATTCCTCCTGGTTAGGAGGTCTATTATTCTAATATTATTCTAATGATACATATATTCTGTCCTGTGGCCTGAAAAGGTTGTTGACTTCTGGTTTGGGGCAGTGAGGATGTTACTCTCCAAGGGGTGGGGGGTCTTGGGTTCTGATCACTTCACGCAGGGTATTTTGTAACCAATGACCATCTAATGCAGTGGCACTCAACCTTTTTCCCTGCAGGCTGGATGGGCAGTGGCCCATCAACCACAGGTTGGATCCTGCCAGTGGTCCTGATCCAGCCCTGAGGCCAGTGCGGTGGGCACTGTCTGACTATGTGGAGGGGGATGCAGGGCAGCCCAGCTGCAACCTGGCCCTGCAGGGGAAAAAGGGGATGGCTTGGTCCTATTGAGGTCAGGGGAGGAAAGTGGCCCAGCCCCAATCTGGCCATGTGGGGAAAAAGAAGGTATGGCCCAGCTCCGTGTGGTGGAAGAGGGCATGGTTTGGCTTCATGGGGAGAGGAGGCATGGCCTGGCCCCAGTCTGGCCCTGTGAGGGGGAAAGGGCATGTGGCTTGGTCACTGATCCAGATGTAGGGGTGGGGGTCTGGCCTGGCTACAACCGGTAGGGCAGGGCTTGGGGTTTAGAATTTAGCTGGTGGAGGGTGACCAAATTAATGGCCACCATTCCTGTGCCACTAAATTTCCTGCCCCATGGGGAGCCCTGTGGGCCAGATGTGATGGCTTTGTGGGCCGCATTTGACTCCCAGGCTGGAGGTTGGGTACCCGTGGCCTAACACACCACTGTCACTACATAAACAATAGCAGTAATAATAAACATTGCTTAAATTGGAACAGATAGATGCCATGTTTCAACCATGCTCCAAGTCCTGTCGCTTTTTTTCCCCCCACAAACTAAGAAAAATAGAGAGGGACGGCCTGACCTCCTACACACAATCAGAACTAAACAACCCACCAAGGTTGGGGAGCCTCTTTCCTGACCCAGCTGCTCAAGAAAATGGAGAAATGCTTCTGGCAGCATTTTCTGAGTAAAAGCAGGTGCTAGCAAAGGCATATTATTGGTGGGAGTTTATAGATCATGTGTCATGGTGGCTGGAAGCAGAACAAGCTTTTTTTCCCATTTCTAGTTTAAGGTTGAGGAGAGAAGGGAAACAACACACTCAATAAATTGGCTCTATATTTTTCATGACCCTAATGACCACTTACTAAATGTAATGAACTCAACTGCACAGGCAGACAAACTATAAATATCCATTTACCTTTTAATCTAACCTTCAGTTTCTTGCATTTTGGTACCATCCACAATCAGCACATGAGAAACATGCATTCCTTCATTATGATGTCCAGCATTTCTCCTTCTCAGAGCTGCTGAAAGATCTTACCCAGGGTTTGTTCACCTGCTCCTCTACCAACACCATATACTTCATCACCTGCTTACACTGCCCCTCTGCTGTCTATATTGGACAGATGGTGTTTCCTGTATGAAAGAATAAATGGACACTGATTTGGCATCAGTTCTAGAAAGATACAAAAGAAAAGCCTGTAGCAGAACACTTTTAACCACCCGGGATGTTTCATCACTGACCTTAGCTGATCTTAAATAACAAAACTTTAAAAACTAATGTGAACATGAAATTATGGAACAAGAAATCATCTGGGCAGTGGACTATGTTATGTATGGTCTCAGCAGAGATTCTGGATTCTTACCTCATTACCTGGACTAGTTTTTATAACCCTTATGCCCCTCAGTGAGGTAGGGTTAGGATTTGTCCATCCTTTTTTACCTCTTCAACCCAACTTCGCCTCTCTTAGCAGTGGTTTCTGCCCCTATTCTTTCCCCCTTCTTTCCCTATCCTTTGTATTTCAGTTTATTCATTCCTTTCTGTTTAGTACCGCAGCTCTGTGCAAATTCATTCATAGAACCTGATGAAGTAGGCTGTAGCCTATGAAAGCTTATGCCTTTCTGAATGAGTTAGTCTTTTAGGTGCCACTCTATTCTGCCTGATCCTTAGACTGAACACACTCAATTCCCATTGAAGATTGGATGGAGAAAGCTCTCAGCTTTCAGTATCTCACAGGTCCTGAAGTCAGCAGGACTTGAAGATGCTCAAAACAGTGCATTATGACCTTAATGCTGTTCCTATGAGTAGCCATGGCAAAACCCACATGGTCTTCATGGTGCAGGGTTGACACTCAGCTGGTGATCTATCCCACTGGAGCTCCTTCATGCTTTCAGCATGAGCTATGTTGTATTAACAGTACTGTCAATGTATGCCTGGGAGCTCAGAGAAGTGTAATGGCTACTGTGTGGAGAGGATCCTGCTCTGCCCTTGTGACAGGGTAATACCTGTGAAGTAAAAACTAGCCCTGTGTTTGTAAGCAGAATTCATACCATACAAGCTGAGATTGTAAGCAAGTCCAGCTCTAGCACTTTGCACTGACTGACTGACATAATGGATCAGAGAGCTATACTACTTTCCTGCTGCCCCCTCTTCTCTGCAGCCACACTCGACTTGGTGGAGTGAAACATCCAAGCACTGACAGTCCTAATAAAGTCCCTGAGACATCAAACCAGGTTTGAAATTAAGCAGGTGAACATTCCTGAGTTTACTTGCCTATCCTTCACCTCCTTGGTCAGCCCTAAAATGGAGATAATGAAGCTTCTTTACATCACAAGGGTGTTAACAGGAATAATTAGTTAATATTTGCAAACTGTGTTGCAGATGAAAAGCCCTATAAAAATGTCAAGAACACTGTTGTTATGCAGATTCACTCAGCTACCTTTTCTGAACTAGGTGGGAGATTTATTCTGCATTTATTCCTCAAGTATTCAGTTGCTTAAATCTTGCCTTTATGCTGCCAAGCAAGCATATAATGTGGATATTTAACTGTGGAAACACAACTGGCCTTTAGCTGGTATCAGAGAAGCAGGAAAGCCTGAGCCTTCTAAATGCTGACAGATTTGTCAGTATTGGAAGAAACAGATGGGATGGGATAGAAAAGATTAGAAAGGGGGAAATCTGAATCTTCTAGTTTGTAGTTAAAGAGAAGAGAAAAGATCCATTGTACGTTTCCAGCAAAAAGTTTTCTTTTTCCTTGATGTAAAAAACATCAGCTGGTTTCACTCTGGCATAAGAATGCTTACACATGAGGACGTTTTTAACTGGTCACTTAAGCTTAAATTGGCTACACTATTATTATGCTAATTGAATTGTTTTCCCTTTTCAGGGACCTCAGGGGCCTCCAGGACAAAAGGTATAGTATAAACAACAATACTGTGAAAGTGATTATATTTCCTAGGGCTAAATTGCAAGCAGAAGAGGTGAACAGTATTAGCTACTGTACGTCACATAAAAGCAGTTACTTCAGTCTGTGAATTCTGTTGTCCCAAAATACAACTACATATAATGTAAGATGTAAGATTTCTAATTTCCCCCATTACAGGAAGTTCAGGCAATGCCGAACTGACTGTTTTCAATCTGTCTGTCTCCCCAACTTGCAGGTTAAAAGGGCACTATAATATTCTCATTCAAGTACTGGTATAACTATGAAACCAAAGTTAAAACATTGTGAAAAGTGGGGATAAAGTTTCAAATTGAATGCCTGTCCTTACTCAAGTAGATCAGTGCCATATGACCAAAAATTTGACCAAAGAAACAAAGGATATAGGTGTTGCTGATAAATGGTGTTTGGTTGGCTGTATTCAGGTGGCCCACTGGTGTCTTCCTGTTTCCATGGTAACTTGAGAACTGATTTCCTGTAAATGCTTTCAGCATTATTTACACTCAGCAGAACTGACTGCTGTAGTTTGATGGAGTGAACCAAGGATTTATGGAGCTTCATGTTTAGAACAATACAAAATATATCAGTAATAAAACTAGTAGATGGCATTTTGCCAGCATCTCACCCAAGTACCACAATAGCCAAATTGTCTGAAAAGTGATTTCAAAAGATAAAAAGTGATGTAGAGCACTTTTAATAAAGTTTGCTTAATACTTAAAAAGAAACTAAAGAATGAATAATTAGCATTATCACAGGTGGGAAAGTTATTGCCCTCTATATTTCGGTCTCTGAAAGTATCACAAGCACAGCATTCTTTGGGCATCTGTTAAACAAAAAACCTGTCAAACAAAAGAAACTAAAAGCTATTGATATGAAAGGGCTTGTTTTAGCACTATTTAGAATGATGAGAGCTTTTTTCTTAAGGGCAGGGTAAATTCCTAAGATGGAAAGGAGAGGAGCATTACATGTTTAGCACTGTCAGAGTGTGAAATTGTAAAGCTGCACTTGTTCCCATGTTGCCAATATAAAAACCCTCCTTCTGACTTGGGAGGGACTTTATTACTAGCATAATAAACCTCAGTAAAAATCTTTGCATGATATTCTTTGAAAATCAAATACTTTTGCTTTATTAAGCATGTGCAAAGTTAGCCCATTTTCAGTCAGTTTTGTTCATGCAATTTATCATCTTTTAGTCTCATAAGATAAAGGTGTGTGACAATATTGACAAGAGAAAGTTCCATAATAAAAGAAGAGTGTATGGACAGCCTGATGACTTAATTCCCCTGTGAGCTTGTGCCTTTCCCCTGTGGCTTTTTGATAGGAACAGTAAAAACACTGACAGACATGCACTCCCTGCTGTAACCCATGGCGCTTTGCAGGAAGCACCATGAGTTACAACGATCCCCTGGACCCAACATGTTTGCAGCCATTCTCCCTTAGCCCTGCCCGCCCCCTTCCTAGGCTATCTACGGAATAGGGGGTGGGGGGTAGAGATGAGAGGGAGCTTGGTCTGGAGCTTGCCCAGCCTCCACTAGAGGGCGGGGCAGGTGGATTGGAGCCCTCCAAAAAAACAGGAGCCACCAAGATGGGGGGGGGGGGGGGGGCCCCCCAAAACCCGCCCCCCCCCCCAGCC